GTTATGGGTATGGGTATACCCGTTTATGTAAATATCCAACGGGTAAACATTTATGTGGGTAAAAGCTTAAAATGTTATGGGAAAATAACCGCAGTTATCCGCCGATCATAACCGTTGCCCACCCTAGTCTCGAACTATATATACATTTCACGTACTATATATATCAGTTGATATATATATTTTATGAACAAACGATATTTATCGGGAAGGGGGTGGACTTAACCTCACAATGGACTAGCAATAATGTGGTTCAAATTCGTCTTTGGCTAGAATCGAACCTAAGACTTCTCACTTACAAATAAAAAAGAATATCATTAGACCATAATACTAAGTGATCTATATCAGTTGATGTTATATGCAACTCTTACACAGTTAATTACGTTATGACCCTAAAATTAAAGTACAACAGGCCATGTTCACGTTAGATATCCCCTTTCATCCGGAAAGTAAAAATATGTTGCCCTAAACATCAGCCTGGCCTTCTCCAGCCATAATCCTTCGTTTCTGGATGACAATGAAAACATTCTTAGAGGATATTCGAAAGACTTCTTCTTTTACAACTGGCGCATTTCGAGTTTCATCATGTTTTCCGATAAACTAACATGGTTGCAGATTCTTCGCGGGAATATAAAGACATAATTATTCACAACCTTGTGTGTAGTTTTCTGGTTTTCCTACTAATGTGGCAATTAGAGTCTGTTTTGATGTAGGGAACGGACAATTGGGATCCAAGAGATCCTTCTTTGCAAAAAATTTCAAGGTGCAGCAATGCCGGTACTGGACACGTTATTTCAACTAGAATCGAATCAGAATTGAGGTGGCTTGAACATGGCGTCGAAGAATTTCAACATTGTATTAATACTAGCAAATGAGGTGAGGGATACAACACGAATAATAAGTAAGGTTAAAAGCAAGAAAATAATAGAAAGAAAGCTCAAAGAAGGAAAGAAAAGCATAATTTGATCACAAGCCCCCTCCCTCTCCCTGAAGCTTCCAATAAGAAACTATGCCTTTCATGAGCTAATTCCCTCTCTTTTCCCAATTTTTCTTTCCTTTACAATTCACAACACATCCAGATTGCTGCCTACCCAGGAAAGGGATTTCCTCAGCAAACAAAAAGCAAGATGTGGAAATTGCAGCATTGGCTAGAGTGAACATGCTCCTCCTTTTGAGCCCGAGTTCGAACCCCCTCCCGCAGTTTAGACTAGATTAAAGTAGAATATCTTTTGTATCAAAAAAATCAAACAGATCATAACTTGAGAATATATAGAAATGACAGAGGTTCACTTTCCCACTTTATAAAGTTTGAAGCTTCCCTCCGTTTTCGACCTTCTTTCGAATTTTTAACAAAACTGAGAGGCAGCTTCTTCATCAAAACATTCTTTGCTTCACCAAATAAACACAAGCACCACTTTGTTTGGTCCTTGTTTTGTTTCAGATTGCTTGTGGGTGTCACTGCCTCTAGATTCCCACAGCAGCCAAGCAAGCAAAAAGAGAATGAAGCTGCTAGTAGAAGTGGTAGATGCTAATGATCTTATGCCCAAAGACGGCGAAGGATCTGCTAGTCCATTTGTACAAGTCGATTTTGTGAACAAGCTTAGCCGAACCACGACTATTCCAAAAAATCTCAACCCCATTTAGAACCAAAAACTTTTCTTTGATATTGACCAAACCAAAAACTTCCATCACCAAGCCATTGAAGTCTCTGTGTTCAACGAGAGGAGTTCACCTATTCCTGGCCGAAACTTTCTTGGAAGAGTGAGAATTCCTTGCTCAAATATTGTCCAGAAAAGTGAGGAAGCTTATCAAAGATTCCAACTTGAAAACAAGTGGTTTTTCTCATCTGTGAAGGGTGAGATTGGCCTAAAAATCTATATTTCTCTAGAATCTGAACCCAAAGCTCCTCCATATTCTCCACCACAACCCATAGAAGCCTCTCCTTCCAAGTCTCAACAACAACCACCCGAAAACTCAAGTTCTAGTCCCTCTGCTTCTCCAAATACAGAAAACACAAAATCCAATAGCAAAGTATTGGCTGCTATTCCAAAAGAAAAAGAGTTCAGACAAAAATCAGCTGAAGTAAGATCAACTGAAACATCCCACCACGTATACAAGCATCAAGTTCTGCAACAACCAGGCATATCGGTAGCAACACAACCTCAAGGTTTCCCACTAACCATGCGGCCAGCTCACCTGGAAGCGCATCGTAGTCATAACCAGCAAGACGACTATGACTTGAAGGACACCAGCCCGCAGCTTGGCGAAAGGTGGCCAAATGGTGGAGAGTACGGAGGAAGAGGATGGATGAGCGGTGGTGAAAGATTTACAAGTACTTATGACCTTGTTGAGCAGATGTTTTATCTGTATGTTCGAGTTGTGAAAGCCAAAGACCTCCCTCCCAGCTCCATTACCGGAAGCCTTGATCCTTACGTGGAAGTAAAGCTGGGGAATTACAAGGGAAGAACAAAGCATTTCGAGAGGAAAATGAATCCAGATTGGAACCAGGTGTTTGCTTTCTCAAAAGACCGAATCCAGTCATCGGTAGTGGAAGTTTTTGTCAAAGATAAAGAGATAATTGGAAGAGATGATTTTATTGGAAGGGTGGTTCTTGACTTGAATGAGGTTCCGACCAGAGTTCCACCTGACAGCCCGCTCGCTTCTCAGTGGTACAGGCTGGAGCACCGCCGCGGGGAAGGAAAGGTTAGAGGTGAGATCATGCTTGCAGTCTGGATGGGAACACAGGCTGATGAAGCCTTTCCGGATGCATGGCATACGGATGCTGCAACTGTGTATGGAGAGGGTGTGTTAAATATTCGATCCAAGGTATACGTATCACCAAAACTTTGGTACCTGAGGGTGAATGTGATTGAAGCTCAGGATGTGCTGCCTAACGACAGAAATCGCCTCCCAGAAGTCTTTGTCAAAGCTCAGGTTGGGAACCAAGTGCTCAGAACCAAGCTATGCCCAACTCGAACTGCGAATCCATTGTGGAATGAAGATTTAGTCTTTGTTGCAGCCGAGCCTTTTGAGGAGCAGCTGGTTGTTACAGTTGAGGATCGAGTCCACCCTTTGAAGGACGAGGTGTTGGGTAAGATAAGCATGCCAATTGATGCGTTTGAGAAGCGGCTTGACCACAGGCCAGTTCACTCCCGCTGGTTCAATCTCGAGAAGTATGGTTTTGGTGTGTTGGAGCCTGATAGGAGGAACTGAGCTAAAGTTTTCTACTAGAATTCACCTGAGAGTTTGTCTTGAAGGTGGATACCATGTGCTAGATGAATCGACCATGTATATAAGTGATCAGAGGCCAACGGCAAGGCAGCTTTGGAAGCAGCCTGTTGGGATTTTGGAAGTTGGCATTCTAAGTGCACAAGGGCTTCTTCCAATGAAGATGAAGGATGGCCGAGGGAGCACAGACCCTTACTGTGTGGTTAGGTATGGCCAGAAATGGGTCCGTACCAGAACAATTCTCGACACATTTAGTCCTAAGTGGAATGAGCAATACACATGGGAAGTGTACGATCCGTGCACCGTGATCACATTGGGAGTTTTTGACAACTGCCACCTAGGTGGAAGTGAGAAGCAACCACCAACTGCAGGCAACGGAGCAAGAGATTCTCGAATTGGAAAGGTGCGTATTCGACTATCAACTCTTGAAGCTCATCGGATGTATACACATTCGTATCCTCTCCTTGTTCTACAGCCTAATGGAGTAAAGAAAATGGGCGAACTCCAACTAGCTGTTCGATTCACAACCCTCTCCATAGCTAACATGATACATGTTTATGGGCACCCCTTGTTGCCAAAAATGCATTACTTGCATCCTTTCACAGTGAACCAAGTCGATAATCTACGATACCAAGCAATGAATATTGTAGCAGTGAGACTTGGCAGAGCTGAGCCGCCTCTGAGAAAAGAAGTGGTGGAGTACATGCTAGATGTTGATTCCCACATGTGGAGTATGAGGAGAAGCAAGGCCAACTTCTTCAGAATTATGTCATTGCTTTCTGGTATGTTTTCCATGAGCCAGTGGTTTGCTGATGTGTGCAACTGGAAGAACGGCGTCACCACTGTTCTTGTTCACGTTCTCTTCCTGATACTGATCTGGTATCCAGAGTTGATACTTCCAACTCTTTTTGTCTACATGTTCCTCATCGGAATGTGGAACTACAGGTTCAGGCCTAGATATCCTCCTCATATGGATATCAAGCTTTCATGGGCAGAGACAGTTCACCCAGACGAGCTTGATGAAGAGTTTGACACATTTCCAAGCTCTAGACCCCACGATATAGTTCGAATGAGGTACGACAGGATCAGAAGTGTAGCGGGGAGGATACAGACAGTTGTCGGTGACATAGCAACGCAAGGGGAGAGATTTCAGTCGCTACTCAGCTGGAGAGACCCGAGAGCAACCAGCCTTTTCATAGTGTTCTGCCTTTGTGCGGCTGTGGTGCTTTTCGTGACTCCGTTCAGGGTGGTTTCTTTGGTTGCAGGGTTGTACAACTTGAGGCACCCCAAATTCCGGAGCAAGCTGCCTTCCGCACCCCGCAATTTCTTCAAAAGACTGCCCGCTCAGACCGACAGCTTACTCTGAAACTACTTGTGACAAGTCCTGTGCAAACCGTAACCAGATTATGTTCATCTGACCTTTCCTTCTCTGAGTTTGAATAAATGCCCTGTTTTATGCTGATGCTGCTGTTTTCGAATGTGTTGGCTACTGGCCTACCATACGGATGACTATATAACTAAACAAATAGGCCTAAACGGATAAGTGGTCATTGCGATGACAGGGTGGGTAGTCGGAAGATAGCACTTGTGCTAAAAAAAACGGATTTAAATCATTGTGATGAAGTCGGATAGGAATTAGACTCAAAATCAAAAGTCCTGTTATCTCTTCGTTAGCTCCTGTTAGTCATGGCTCCACACTCAACAACCAAGCTTCCTCAAAGCTTTTTAGCTCATGTCGCACGACATGGATGTGAATTTCGTGAAAGTAAAGATCATAGGTTCAAGCCTCTCCTTTAATTTAAAAGAAAAAAGAACTTCGCACAACTCGAGATCTGAAGTAACATCTGATTAGATGTCAATTACAAATAAAACTTAAAAAGTACCACCACTGAGATCGAGTTCAAACAAAAATGGAACGCTTGTAGGATAGGAAAGCAAAATCTAATACTTTCCAGCTTCTTCTCTAGAATACAAGCTCATGAGGCTTCATGCCTTGCTTGAGAGAGAACCTTGCAGCCAAATAAGTCTTCAAATCTGCAATTTTGTCGATGCAATTAACCAAGGGTGTATCAACAGCCTTCTGGTCTTCTTTTTTCTCCTGGGGAAGTACATTTTTGTCCTACAATTTGAAGAAAGAAGTCAAAAGGTTATAACACAACAACAAAAAGACAGACACATGAATTGCCATCCACAGTATACACTCAAAATACAGAAGATAAACACCCAACCTCCTTTTCCGCTTCAAAGAATTCGCCTTCTCCCTTCTTCTTTTTCTTCTGAACTTCCTTTGCAAAATACTTGTCATCAAATTTATCAACATTAACCCCAGAGATGTCAATCTTAGTTGAAGTTCCAATAACGTAAGATTGGTTCACACGTCTTAGAGGAACACCGTTAATCTTGAATGGTCCTGAAGGGAAAAGAAAGAACAGTGGGAAACACTCCAATGGAGTTAAATGGCACACAGGGAATATGAAGAAGAAAAGAAGAAAAAAAAGCTTTACAAACTACCAATCCCGATCACCAACATACACAACCAAGGTGCTCTCTTGAACTGACATTAAACACACTAACAAAACTAATCACTTTAATCAATGTAAACAATGACCTATTTCCATGTAAACGGCCACAGCTTCATCAAATTGCAACAAGTACATGTTCACGAGCATGTTTTCCCTTGTAGTATATTTGAATCGTTTGAAATAACGCACGATATTACGCAATACAGCACACCATATACCGTCGTGGAAGAGATTTTGTGAAATAACGCAAAAGTATCACGATAGTCTAAAAAATCGTTCGAATTCTGCACGATATTCCACGATACGGCACAATATACCACACCGAATGCCTGGTGATCCTATTGCTACAATAATCACCACATTCATCCATTCAATGACTATACTACTGGTTTATTATGCATTAATGTGAACTTATATGTGTTTTGGTGCAAGTATATATATCTACACTACCTATTAACAAAATCCTCTTTGTCAACCAATATTGGGTGAAAGGACAATTTGGACTTCTATCACTAAACAAAGTCATGGGTAGTAATGTAATTTTGCACAAACCAAATTATTTTTTTATTCCCTCACCCACATGTCATCATAGCATTTCTCAATTTTTTTTTTTTAAATCAAAATAAAAAAAACTCCCCGCATGGGCTCTCACTCTCCCTTTCCAACTTCTCTCCAACTTATCTCTTCCATATAAAAAGATTTTAAAAGAAAAAACTAATAATATGGAAGAGATAGAAGTTGGCAAGAAATGTGAAAGAAAGAAAGAGAGAAAAATGAGGGTTATTTTTATTTTTAATTTTTTTAATTAGAGACATGCTTTGATGACATGTGGGTGTGGGAAGAAAAAAAACCAACAAAATTTTCTGTGCGAAATTACTTTAATGCCCATGATTTTCTTTTCGGATATTTTCTTTCAATTATGCATGAAAGAGTATAGAAGTATTTTCCTTGGTTTTTGGTTGACAAAGAGTGTTTTATTGATAGGTAGTGTGTGTATTATTCATATACTATTTAATGCTATGCAAGTCTCAAATAGCTTACATGAAAACTCCCACCCACCCCCTTATGCGATGCAATTTCTAGTACTGGTATATTAAACCAAGTCATCATCTCAAAAAATGAAATCAACCAGCAGCACAACCGACACAATCATTAAGAACTAATAAATCAACCAGATCAATTTGGTATCAAGAACTGAAGCAGATGAAAAAAATATTCACTCCCTGTTATTTTTCTTGCACCAATATCATTAAAGTTTAGAAGAAAAGCCCAATTAAGGAGAACAATAACTTACCAGTGACCAAAAGCAAGCCAGACGAAAGCTGCTTCAAAAACACAACTCTCTTCCCCTTGAACCTCCCAGCAAGAATGATTAACACAGTTCCAGGAGTAATGCTAGCCCTATACATTACAAGAAAAGAAAATGTCAACAGATTATTAAAGGTTTATAGAAGAAAATACAAAAAGATTACTAGAAACCATAAACTTCTCAGTTATATGAGGCCTAAACAAACCAATTCCAAATTGAAGCAAACGCTGAAAAAGAAAATAAAACATTTCCATCCCAAAATTTGTACATGATTGGTCCTGAAAAGAATAAGTGATTCAATTTCTACTCTCCACATCGTAACTTCTCACTATATTGTAACTCATAAGAAAGTAAATATTTTTCTCAAATCCCTAACCAATAGGAGCTCAAATTCATATCATCACTTTCCAATTTCTATGTTCCCAATTTCTTATCCTCAAGACTGAAATGGGTATTGAAAACCATAAACAAAATCCTAAAAACAGAACCTTAAAATGAATGCACGCATGTTGATACATTACATCTCAACATTTCAGCTGCACATCTTCGGAAATGGAAAGCCTAACATGACGCAAGGCAATAATAATCATGTGTATACAAAATCCCACCTATCACTCACTTTCAGACCGATTTTTTGGTATTTTTCTGGCAAAAAATAAAGAGTGGCCATTCCAAAATCTTCAAATTAACTAGATAAAAAGTTACACAATTCATAAAATAATCACACATTTCCTCAGAACACACTCACAAAAGCACATATATTTCTCAGAATCCAAACACATTAAGACAACAATTCAACACATTTTCTCATCAGTCAACAGCCAAAGAAAACACAAATACACAGAATCTATAGATACAAAGACAGAGAACAGGGATGGATAAGTACCTGAGTTTTGTGGGCTTGGGCTTGCGCTTGTTGACGAGAGGCTTCTTGACATCGTCGGCGGGGTAAAACTTGGGCGGCTTGACAGCCGGGGCGTCGGCGGCGGGCTTCTTTTCGTGGCAGGGGAAAGCACCGCCGTTCTTGGCCTTGATAGCCCAAAGCCCTCGCTTGTGGTACATCTTGGACCTCGAGTATTTCCCAATCCCTCTGATCAGATCAGGGTTTCTGGTCACCTTTGGAGTCCTCTGCTTCGGCGCCATCGCTAACACGCGGAGGTGAAGGTACGTTCTCTCTCTCTTCTATCACTCGCTTGCCGTCTCTGATAGGCGCGGCCACAAAACACAGTGGGGAAGAAACTTGGGGGTATATATATGGGCCGAACCCTTCAAAACCCTTGACCTACTCTGTAAAATGGGTACTCGGTATTCGCTACTATCACTTTTTACACTGACTTAGGCGCATACGGAAAAATGAGGGGTTGGCCTAAAAATCCCAAACCAGAAAATCGAATTGAACCATGATAAAAAAAAAATATCGTAAAAAATCACGTTGATTAAAAAAATCAAAATTAGAACAAAAACCGAACCGAATCGTTTCAAACGGTTTCGGTTTGGAAATATTAAAATCTGAAGGAACCAGACCAAACTGTTTTTAATATAAATTATTATTTTATTTTTTTTTTAATATAAATAAGACATTTTTCCAAGAAACCCATATCCATAAGCCCAATTTTCACTTCTCTCCCCCTCCTTTGTTTTTTTATCACTTTTCTTCCCTTACATTATTTTTCTCCATTCTTTTTCAGTATATTATGCATTATGTACATTTCAGTTTTAGTTTAAGATGTACACTTTGGTCTTGATATGAGCCTTTCTATCTTTTGATTTATATTTATAAGCACATTTTCTATCTTCCGGTCACTAATCTTGTAGATCTAGTAGTGGAAACTCAAATTTACTTAAATTTGTGGTTGAAATATGTGTTTGGTATTACAAGTAGAAAAATTAGAAAAAACATATATATAATTTTGGTTAGAACCGTAAACCGGCATGAACCGTCACGAACTGAACTGTACGGTTTTAGTAATAAATTTAAGCGAACCACACCTAACCTTTCAGTTCCATTTTGAGGGGAGCTGGGCATAACCGAATTGTGCCCACCCCTACAAAAAATGACCATTTTGGTCACTGTACTTTCGTAGTACAATTTTTTTATAGCTCTTTACTTAAAATGTTATTTGAAATTTGTATAATTCATCACTTTGGTCTCTGAGATTTGAAATCAATATAAGTGGTTCCTGAGAATGTCCAACATCAATCATTTTGATCATTCTGTTAAACATTATGTTAAATAAGAATCAAAATGACAAAAATACCCTTAATTTAATAAACAATAGTTCAAAATAATTTCACAAAAGTTGAGGGTATTTTTGTCATTTTATTCTTATTTAATAGAGATTTTTCACGGAATGACCAAAATGATTGATGGTGGACAATCTCATCGATATCAAATCTTAGGAACCAAAGTGAGGATTTATGCAAATCTCATGAACCATTTTAGCTAAAAAACCTTTTTTATACAACAATATATTTGGGTAAAGAATAATAAATTAGAATTGATTTATGTGATTTGAATTTAAGAATTATGTACAAGTAAAATGAATTATTCTAAGGCAATACTAAATGACTTGTAATTTATTATTTCAACTTTTAAATAAAGGAAAACTAATGAAAAAGGTTTGAAAACTTTGAGTTTTAACGATAAGAACAAAATACAGGGTAAAGTGAATAGTACCAGGTTTGACTTTTTAGTGTAAAAATGTGGTTTTTCGTTAATGTGAACAGTACCGAGGGTTTTTCGTTAAAACTCCCTTTAAATAAAAGGTCGGCGCTAACCAATTTACATCGGTTTCACTAAATTCATCAAGTATTAAACGGGGAGATAGTTTCACCCTGTTGTACCTTATATTGGGCCTCAGTATTTGGGCTTCATTACTTAGCCCATAATTCATGTAAGAAGGGAGGAAACCCTTATTCCATAAAAGGGCTCCCTTGCACTCACTAGGGGGAGGAGACTCGACGAGAGAAAGGGAAATAGATAGAGGGGAAACAGAAGGGCAAACAGAATAGCAAAGAGAGCAAACACTGCCTTTATAGCCTCCATGTATATTCAACATTCATTTACATAGTGAAATAGAATCAACACCAGTGTAGACGTAGCCTCAACTTGAGGTGAACCACGATACATCTTATGTTATTTGCTTCCCTATCTCTATTCATTTACATACTTATCCACATTAATGACCAGAGCAACCTAGCGAAGGTCACAAACTTGACACTTTCTGTTGTACCAAAGTCCTCGCCGATTGTGTGCATCAACATTTGGCGCCGTCTGTGGGAATCGATACGAAAAGCTATGAACAATCCCAGAAATTCTGCTATCTGCAAGGCCCTGCTGCCCATACCCTCAGAAGCTTGCAGATCACAAATGGCACTCAAGTCAGCCATACACGAAGGCTTTCTGCAACTCGCACCCTTCCTATTTTTTGAGTATCTGACGTTTCAACATTTTAGCATGACATTTATCCAACACGTCTTCCGCATCAAAAGCCAAGTCCCTGAGATCATCGAGCCAGAGCTTCAGTGCGCCGCTCTCAACCATCAGTTGTCTTTCCTCCACGTCATGCAGAACCGCTCCAATTGCAAACAAGGTGGCATTCCATTTCTTCAGATTTTTATCAACGCCCTTTACGCGTCCACAATACTTGATGACCTCGCGCTGTGCCAACTTGCTAACCAACACTCGAAGAAATGCCACAAGAAAAGCCTATGCCGCCATAGTTTCTTCAACAATAGATTTCCAACTGTCGGTTCCGGCGATATCACGACCTTGCCGCCACCACCAGTGGAATCGGGGGACTCAAACTATCAGATTCTCACTCAACCCGATTGGTGCCGCTGCCATCTCCACTGTTTGAAAAAAAATCCATCGGAGAAGATAAGGACTCTATCTTCTCCAAATTATCACTGTTTATTTAATATTTTATTATTGTATCTTTAATTATTCCTAATCATTATTTTCATTATTTAAATATTAGAGTGAAACTTTAATCATTCATGGCATGGTACAATCAAAGAAGTCAGGTCCATATTCCACTTTCTGAAGAAACCCACAGGAAAACCAGGAAGAAGATAAACTTTCTTATAATAATTTTATTATTATCCCCCTTTGATATTGTCGGCCATGCTTGAAAGAAACCCATCATTACGTTTTCCCAATATCATTGCCTATTAATATTTTATATTATTATTTAATGTTTATTACAAGACCACTTGTCTGACACACGACTTAGTCTTGCCAGCTTTATTATAATTATTTTCATACATGACTACTGACACATCCACCTAGAACCCTCATTATTCTTTACACCCAAACTACACCATTTACATTATTTAATGATTTTATCACATGATTATACTACAACACATGACGCCTTCTAATCAAACCATTTATTTTCATTATTTGAATGTTAGGGCACAATACACAACACAGGGTTATGCACGTATATATATGTATAGTTATGCATGTATATATATGTGTGTATTATCTCTACATCCATCATGTTAAGATTATTATGCTAAGAATGCTTCCCAAATCCATAACTCGAATTTCACTAATCTTAGTCGCATCACACATGTTTAAATAGGCATTTATTTATGCAACCTTAAAGTGCTGCCTAGTGTCATGTGATTGCCTTTAACCATGTCACTTATGCAACATGTGATTTACCACATAACTGAATAAATTATTTACTTATAGTAGGCACATAGTACAATATTTTACCTTGACAAACTTTGTCAATTTGATTTATTCATTATGCGTTCATACTTATACTATCATTTATTCTCAGGAATTATTGAGCAACTAGCTCTATTGATCAACAGTGTCACTGATTAAAGAAGCCTACCAACTTATAGATCGATGAGCCACATTCTTACGATGACAAATATTTAGTCTGAACAGTAATCTCTTGTCTGATCGGACACCCGCTTCCTCAAACACTCACTCATTTGGACACCTATGTGCTTGGACACCCGCGAGCTTGGACACCCATTCGTTCGGGCACTTACGAGATTAGACACCGTCAAACTTGGACACCCTTGAGCTCGAACCCCGACTTATGGACCTACCTTGTAGACCCAACTCAAAGACCCTACGTATGGCCCCGACTCAAAGACCCGACTTGTGGACCCGATCCGCGGATCCGACACATAGACCCAATATGCGAACACGACAAGCGGACCCGAGTCATGTCAAGAGTTAACTCATAATGAGCTCACGCTGACGTTGAGTGCATAATCGCAATGAAGAATGCCACAAGCCTAGCCGCCTCGCAACGAGCACTACCTCCAGCCGAGCAATTTCCTCGCTGCGAGTATTGCCTCTAGCCGAGCAGCCTCGCAACGTGTGCTACTTCTAGCTGAGTATTGCTTTACGTTAAGCACCGTTTCATGTCGAGTACTAGTTCTAGACGACATCTAGTCACTTCGGCCCGCACATGGATTGAATTTGAAGTCTCCAGCCAAAAGACTCTCTTGACTGAAGACCTGGGGGACTCCTATTGTACCATATATTGGGCCTCAATATTGAGGCTTCATTACTTAGCCCATGATTCATGTAAGAAGGGAGGAAACCCTTATTCTATAAAAGGGCTCCATCGCACTTACTAGGGGGAGGAGACTAGACGAGAGAAAAGGAAATAGACAGAGGGGAAACATGAAGGCAAACAGAATAGCAAAGAGAGCAAACACTGCCTCTATAGCCTCCATGTATATTCAACATTCATTTACATAGTGAAATAAAATCAACACCAGTGTGGACGTAGCCTCAACTTGAGGTGAACCACGATACATCTTGTGTTATTTGCTTCCCTATCTCTATTCATTTACATACTTATCCACACTAATGACCAGAGCAACCTAGCGAAAGTCACAAACTTGACACTTTCCGTTGTACCAAAGTCCTCGTTGATTTTGTGCATCAACACACCCTTTAGGCCTAAGTTCATTACTCTCATTTTTACTGGATTTTAGTGTTAAAACCAAATCAAACCAAACTGGTCAAATTAGTTAATTTTGGTTGATCTTCTGCCTTCCTTGCTTTTAGATATGCTCTACAATGCAATTTTTTTGGTATTCTAAATGTGAAATTCAATAAATCAAATAGCTAAGCTAATATTGTTTACTTTAAGCTAATCTAAATTACCGCACGAGATTAAGACGCATGCATATGGGAGCAAATTCTCGTCTCAAATTGAAATGATGAAAATCTACATACACAAAGAAAAGAGCCAAGCAGTTGGCATTGGCTATATATTAGAACAAAGTAGTTGGCATTGGATATATATAAAGAACTAAGGAGTTAACTCTAGCGTTTAGGTTCGTTGAAACTCTTAGTAGAGTGTTACCTAGTATGCACATCAATGGAGCACTATTCCCTTGAGATTCCCATAATATACTTTGGGGGTGGACGTAGGAAACTCAAAAAGATGTAGTTTGTAGTCGCGTAGTTAATGTTTGTTTTCAAAATCAAATAGGAAATTGATCTTCAAGGTGGAATAAGAAAGCAATATTCAAAGTTCAATGGGAAAACAATCTTCTTCATTGATCTCCAAGTTAGCTTGAGAGATTTAATTCTTTTAGGATTTCAACAATGAATGGGATGCCGTTTCTTCATTCATTGCTGAAGCAACTATCAATAAGGGTGCTTGGACTCTTCTTTCTCATCACAAATATTTACGTAAGCATTCGTCGAGAGCAAAGAGCAAGCAATTTATGAAATTTCTGGTGAGTGTCAAACAATCCAACACTTTTGCCGAGAAAATCAGAAATAGTCGAAAAAAATTCGGTATGGCTTTGACTAGCAACTTGGGCTAGGCCTTTTTTTTGTTTTTTTGTTTTTCGTTTTTTTGGCAAACTTGTTGATCGTCGGCCTTCTTTTTCGTGAGATGTGAACTATGTCTTTTAAAAAAATCTATCGTCCGAGAGAAATCTCTTGAAGTTTCTTTATATAGGCAAGGCGGCTCGACCACTTATGTGGGCTATTTTGTTGCCTCGTTGTCTAATTCGGATATTGCTGAGAGGTATCGGGACTGGAGGCAAAATGATCTTTCTATTTTCCCTCAAAGAGTCAAAGCTTGGTTGGTTGGTGACTAGTTTGCCCTGAAACTATGCATGAATGTGAATAAAACACAGAGATTGGTACAGAAATTAATAACGCTACACTACCTCATGTACATACAGAAAATTAGTAAAGAAACAAACTGAGAAACCTATCACTCACCGCTCCGCCACTCCACTTCAAGATTCCAGCAAAGGTTCTTCCTCTTCTTGTCTATTTATAGTAATATTGTTTTTGTCTTAAGAAAACACCCTAGCATTTTTTGGGTTAATATTAACCCTACTATCTCTACTATTAATATAATTCTCTTTATCAACTAAAAATGTGCGAAAAAGAAACATTATAGACAATATAGTAAATTACACGTAAAATGATTTTGCTATTTTTTTCTCTCTCCATCACAGCCAGGTGATCTCGTATTTTTCCTCCCACCTCTGACTCTCCTCTCCTTAATTTAAAGGAAATTTTAACGAAAAGCCTGCGATACCGTTCAATTTAACAAAAAATCATATTTTTACGCTAAAATGTCAAACATGGTACTATTCATTTTACCCATTATTTTGTCCTTATCATTAAAACTCAAAGTTTTCAAGCCATTTTCATTAGTTTTGCTTAATTTAAAATCATTAAAAACAAATCATTATTCTTATAAAGTAATATTTCTCTCACACACTTGACCTTTGCTAGCAAGAAAATGGGAAAAGAGTGCCCAAGAAAAAATGAAATGAAGAAAGAGGTTCCATTCATATCTCATCTTACCCGCGGGTGAGATACCTCTGAAGAAGACTAAAATCCCAGCAAGATAATGAGACAATGAAATTGAAGCCTTCCTCCTCAGCAACTTTCCCACCCTTTCTCCCACTCTTCTCGCTTAAAACCCCATTAACCCGAAGATGGCCACAATCTCATCCATATTCTCACCACCCAATATCCTTCACCACCCCACAAAACCCATCGAAACCTCACCTAAACTGCCCCTCCAAATCCTCAAACCAACCCAATTTCAGGGCTTTCACAAACTCACTTCCTCCTATCTGACTCTGACCCCCAGGCACTCACAGAGGCTCTTCGCTGTCGCCCAAGAAGTCGCGGCGGACCCGGCTTCGAAGGCTGCCAGGAGAGTCTACATTGGTAACATTCCCAGGACTCTGGATAATGCTGAGCTTACCAAAATTGTTGAGGAACATGGTGCTGTCGAAAAGGCTGAGGTATTTCAAAAATTTCCATGTTCCTTCTGTCTCCCTTTTGTATTTTCATGCCCTTTTGTGCTGTTTTAATTTGTTGGGTTATTGAAGATTTCAGAGCTCAGTGTGATTAGTATTTGATATTTGGTAGGCACTACTTTTGTGTTTGTTACCTTGAGAATGTGTTTAGTTTTGTTAATTTGGTTTAATTGGTGCAAAGGGAATTTGTGTTTATGAATTTGGTTTTGCTTGTCGCAAATCTTTAGTTATATTTTACGAAATTTGGTTTACGTCAATAAATAATTCCATGGGGATGTGTGTGGAGAATTGTATTGAAGAACGCTTTTTTTTGTATGAGTTGACTTTACTATAACAAAGAAAAGAGATGGCTATCTTTCCTTCCTTTTGGGCGTAGGTGATGTATGATAAGTACTCTGGAAGAAGTCGCCGATTTGCATTTGCTACGATGATGACTGTTGAAGATGATGCCGTGGTTGAGAAACTGAATGGAACTGTAAGTGTTACCAAGGTTCATAAGTTTATTTTGATTAAAACACTGTTAAAAAATGCATCTACTGAAATGTTTTCTGCACTCTGTTGGCACTTTTTTCAGTTTCCGTAGTAAGACCTTATTAATTGATGGAAATCAATTAACTCCATCTTGTTGTTATACAGGAGATCGGAGGACGTGAAGTCAAAGTAAACATAACTGAAAAACCCCTGCTACAAGCGGACACATCACTTGTTCAGGCAGAAGAGTCTCAATTCATTGACAGCCCCCACAAAGTTTATGTTGGAAATCTTGCAAAGGAAGTAACCACGGATACACTCAAAACCCTTTTCTTTGACAGGGGAAAAGTTCTTAGTGCAAAAGTTTCTCGGGTTCCAGGGACCTCAAAATCTAGCGGATTTGGGTTTGTTTCTTTTTCCTCGGAGGAGGATGTAGAAGCTGCAATCTCATCTTTCAACAATACTGTAAGTTTCTAGCTGGTGTACCATGTTTTAGAGGAAGCTTGGAATCTAACCATACAACATGCATACATATATTCACTTGCACATATTTATGGATGTTCTGTTGAGTTTTTGATACACTTGAGCCTGTTTGTTTATATTCTTATATGTTCTTATGGCAGTTTTCATACACTTTTATTATAGAACATATGACAGGGCGACATGCACCATAATCGAAAATGTATTACAAATCATGGCTACACTACATATATCTAATGCTTAATTGCTTATGCATCTAGAATCACCCCTGTCAATCTGACTTAATTCCTTTGTTCAGTGAACTTTTTAATCACCAACGATGAGCCAAATTACTGCAAGTCTTGTATAATTCTCCAAACTTTTAATCTGACTTAATTCCTTTGTTCAGTGAACTTTTTAATCACCAACGATGAGCCAAATTACTGCAAGTCTTGTATAATTCTCCAAAACTTTTTAATCTGCATGGTATCTCGTCCCTAGTTGCCTTTTAGTCTGCATAATTTCCTGCAAGTCTTGTATAATATCTTATCCCTAATCAGAACACCCTATGTCATCCTCCGAGCTGTATGCTTCCTTTTGGTTTCTAATCCTGCTCATGGTCATGTGTTACTACTACTACCACTACTAATAATGTATGCTGTCGAAAAGTGTTTGAGTTGGTACTGATAATATATTGTTCTTTTATCTTGATGGATTATGCTTTCGTCATGAATTTGTTGGAAGTGATTCTTCCCTTATTGCAAATAATCGAAACTGTTTGATTTCCTTAGCAAATTGAATCAGTTGCTATCCCCTTTCATCACGTTATACCATTTATTTGTATTACTTATTGTTCATTACAGTTGTTCGAAGGGCAAAGAATTCGTGTGAACAAGGCATAGTAGAGCTGGCAGAAGGGAGTTTGCACTTGTATCTATTGTATCAGAAACTAGGGTAGGCCCATATGATTATGAGTGAAACCAAAAATCGAAGTCATTTTTGTAGTTTCTTATGGTTTCAATCTTAATGACATTGTCACGACCTTGAGGTTTTCTGGTCATTCCTGGTAGAAGCTGATTGGATTGAAAGTTATCAATGTATGATATGGCATAATTAGTGCGTCCTGATTTTATTGTGGCTTATCTTGGTTGAAACTGCCTCTAACTTGAACTAGATTGAGCATCCGTTGAGTTAAAGTAATCTTGCTCAAGCGTCGTTTTGGATTTGGTTGGATTTAACTTGTTTAACAGTCAATATTAAGATCAAAACGAATGGCTTTTCTTTTGACCCATGTTCCTTAGTAGGACATGGAATGCTTTGTAATTTTGAGTGCATGCTAGAATTTGTGACATTTGATGTACAATGGTCATTATCACATCTGTTTATGCATTAATTATACTACGTAAAATTTGAAAAGACTGATCCGAAGTTTTTTCCGATATTTTTACAATTAGATAATTAATACGTTTCAAAGAAAACAATAGACACGAACAATACTCAAGAGGTGTGGCATGACCTTGGGGAATATCAAATTTCAGTTTTAAGACTTCTAACTAAGTTGAGGCGTTTCGATAGCTTCATTAAAAGAAAAATAGCTTGTGCACAATTTTCTTTTTGGATCGAAATTAAGAGGAATGTGCAAAAGATGAAAAAAGATTTGCAAAACCGCTCTCTAATTAAAATTAGGCAATAATAAAAATTCCAAAGCAGGTTTTCGCGAATAAATTTACGACTAACCCCGTCCCGCGCCAAATTAACAGTAGGACGTGAATGGCAAGAGTCGTAATTCTTGTAAACCTCAAGGGCTATTCGCGCTCCAAATAGGCGCCACTTTTCGTTTCCCGCGCCCCGTCTTCGCATTCAATCTCCAAGTAACCCTAAAACCCTCCATTTTCCTGCTCCACTCTCTCTAAGAATTCATATAAATACACACACAAACACAATCAAACAGCTGTATTTCTTTATAATTATATATCAGTTTCGGCATTGAAGAAGAAGTGCGGAGGAAGGCGGAAGGATGTTTTATTCACAGACGTTCTTGGCTCGGAAGGGCCCACTGGGAACCGTCTGGTGCGCGGCCCACCTCCAGAGCCGGCTGAAGAAGTCCCACTACACCTCCACCGACATCCCCTCCACCGTTGGTCAGTAAAACCCCTTTCCCTTTGTTTGATTGCCTAAATTTGAGTTTTTTTCTTCTTAATCTGGGTGTCTCAAATTCTGAATCCAGTGCTGCTGGTGCTTTCTGATCAAATTTGTGTTAAATTTCGAAACTTTGTTGCAAAATCATCGCCTTTTTCCGATAAAGTTTTGTTCTTTTCTTTAATTTTGATAAAATTTATAGTGTGTAGTAATATTCTTTGTAATAAAAGAAAAATTAAAATTTGTTTGGGTTCAAATCACTTCATTATTTTACCCTTTTTTTTTTTTTTTTTTTTTTTAACTTTTAATCCCTTGTTGCGAATGTTGTGGGTTTATTGTGGGCTGAATTGCTCAATGTTATTTGGTATAAGTTTGAATTTGAGGATATATTTATGTGCGATTTCTCATAAAAAAAAAACTCAAATATGGGAAAAATCAATTGGCTTTACGATGTTTGTACAAATGTGTTTGTCAGATCGCATCATGTTTCCGGATGTTCCTATTGCACTGAGAATGTCAGGACACCTTTTATTTGGCGTTGTTCGGATATACTCCAAGCAGGTCGACTATCTTTACCAGGACTGTAATGTTGTTTTGACTACCCTAAGAAAGACCTTTGCTTCCATAGACTTGAATTTGCCAGAGAATGCAATGCAAGCTCCAGTTCAGTCCATCACTTTGCCGGAAACATTTGACCTTGATGCTTTGGATTTGGATGGAGGCGTGTTTGGTGAGGGGTAATATTCTCATTAAGCCCTTTTCATTCATCTTTCTGTTCTGCTTCTAAATGAATGTATGATGCAAATGACCTTGTTTCCTCAGGGCTTATGATAATCATCACGCGAGTCAGGAGGACATCACACTACCAGGTTGTAGAAGTTAATTGCTGTTTGGAATTCTCATCTTTATTATTTGTCTTTGTTATGTTCATTCGATGAAAGTCTTAAAAATATTTTAACTTTGTGTCACAGATCAAATTCCTATTGCAACAGACCGTTATGTCACTATAACTTTTGACGAGGTTGACATCTTTTCTTTTCAATGATAGAGTTTAATGTTTCTGCTTTTCTTTACATTTATGTTTGAATGGTAAGGTACTCGATTTGTATTGTTACTGAATGAAACATGTGTTATTTTTAGGATATCCAGAACGAGGTTTTTGGTTCAGATGTTGCCCCCATGGATGAGGAGTATGATTCCTATTGCACTTAAATTCAATGTATGGTTCAAATATTTGTTCAACAAACCTGTAAATTTATTGGTTATATTTCAATGGTTACAGCATCCACTCTACAACTCCAGGTGAGGGTGTTCCTAGTGATCGCTTCACCCCTCCAATAAAGAAGCTCCAGAAGTAGATGTTCCAAATGATTTTGTCTTCCAAGATTCTGTTCCAAGTAACCATAGAGAAACTGGAGTAATGCAAGATGCTCTTCCTGATGATAGTTCCCTGCAGTTTGTTCAACCAATGGAAGTTATGCGAGATGATGCTCATCTTCCAGATGACGGTTCCCCTCAACATGTTCAACCAATGGAAGTTATGCGAGATGCTGTTCCTCCAGAAATTGTTCCTACGGTTTCTCTCAATAACGGCAATGATGTTAGTGAACCTGACAAATCTATTAACACAGAAATGAATGAGAATAAAGTACTTTCTCCAATTACAGAGGAGAATACACCTTCTGGTGGGCCATCTCCATTGTCCCTGCCAAGTTCAGGACCACGAGCTTCTATTGCTTCTTTGCCAGAAATGAACGGGAAAGATGTTTCCTTTCGTGAGTAGAGTTCTCATTGTCTATAGTGTCCTTAATATGTATGCATTAATAAGACACAACTTTGTTTTTTCCCTTGAATGTTTCTCTCTCCTGTTGCAGAAATGCAATCAACACCACATGTTGAGCAACCAAGAGCAAGAGCAAGGAAGAGAAAGCAGTATTTTGACGAGACCCTTGTGTTATCCAATGAGTATGGTTGCACATATTATTACTGTAGGGTCATTGTTTCTTCTGGTATTGATTACTGAGATTGGTTGTAAATTTTGTAGGTTTATGAATAGGACAATTCAAGATGCTAGTGATTTAAAGCGTAAAAGGAGGAATATTCCGTACTCTACTTTGGGTGTTTGGAAGTTGAACAACAGTCTAAGAAAGGAACAAATATTTTTTCAGCCTTCATTAACTGGTGAGGCGATCTTTTCTCTTCATGTATTTTCTCTCACTGCTTGTCTTCTATTTTAATGAGATTTTTTTAATGAGGATCTTGGTGTCTGCCTGTAGGATTGTGTTCGGATCTTCTTAACATTTTCGACAAAGACTATATATCCAAACAGTCCCATTTGTTTGAGGGAGCTCTTCCAGTCTCTGGACCTGCAACACCTCCTCCTCCTCCTTCTACAACTGAATTCTCCCCAGAGCGCTGTGTTCCACCATCTCTTCCTGTCATTGAAGTTTCCACAGAGTTTAATGGCGCAGAATCTCCCCCAACAATTGAACGTTTTCAGCATGCTGAAGAACATGATGGTGGAAATAACTTACCAGAGTATGAGGGTGCACAATCTCCGCCACAAATTGAACGTTTTCAACATGTTGAAGAACATGATGGTGGACACAACTTACCAGAGTATGAGGGTGCACAATCTCCTGCCACTCAATATGACTTTATTCCTGCTCCGTCTCCAAACTTAATGTCAGCTTCAGTTCCTCCATTGGAAGCAAGCACCGGAACTCAAATACTGCTGACACCGGATCAAACAGCATCGACTAGATTTCACGAGTCTGTAAATGAAACACCAAAGACAATGTTTGAGGGGTGGCTAGGTCCAGAGAACACTGGTCTATCAAATAATCCTGAATTCAACGATTCTACTGAAGCAGTAAGTTATTTAGTATTTGGTCCTATTTGTGTTTTGTGTAAATTGTGTTTGGCTTTGGTATCAATTTGCCTGTTTGACCGTTTATTGCCCATTGGTTGGAAGCCTTAAGTTCCCCCCTTATATTTGCGTGAGATGCAACTTAATAGAGAGCCTAAGGCTTGTAAAAACAGCTTACGGTATTGCACACAGTTCATTATACCGAGCTCTATAAATGCTTCACTTAGCCGTGAATAATAAATCTTACAAAAACTATAGGCAACTATTGCATCTACAAGACAAGTATTCCAGTCATATATATAGTAAAATGTGAGGATGATCTATTTGGAACGGAAGATAAAAAGGACAATTAGCATCTCTCATATTAGCTTAATGAATTCTCTTGAAATATTGAAATACATTCAAAAATCATCAACCAAAAATATTGAAAATTTCTGTATGTCGACTGGTTTTACATAAGCTTTAGGTGATTTTTGCTACAAAAAAGATCAATGTATGAGCTAAATTTCTTAATTACTTGTCAAGCTAAAGACGAATTGATGTAAAAGCATAGTACTAGTTGGCAGACCTGAAAAAAAGAAAGATAAAATGAGATACAACTCCTTTAATGAATATTACCTCTTAATCAATCCGAAAGGTTTTAATAAAAGCTTCTGTTTCTTACAAAAAAAGAAAAAAAATTTGAGATAAAAAACTATGAATGCATATCACCCAACACATAAGCAAAGTACTAAAACGAGGGCAAGACTAGTATTTAATTTTTTTTATTACCATGCACTTCATTTAGAGGATCAGATTTTTATTTGAAGACTATATGTGCTCTATATTTTGGCGTGGGATGGGCCATGTCCCCATTGTTCTCCCCATAGCCTTTTATTTGGAGTCACAAGTATATGATCTTATTCTTATTTTATGATAATCCTAACTCCTAATCCTCATTCATTTTGACCTTCTTTTCCTTGTGGACTAATTGTAGAAGTTGAACTGTTCTTACCATTATACAGGATTATCAACTTTCGACCTGCCATGCATTATGTGATGTTACAATTGTCATAATCTATCATTCAGAATATACTATGAGAGACATACTTTTTATTGTGAAACCGCTTTTGATGAACCAGTTAACTCCATG